CATTGTAAAGTGGCATTATGTGCCGAAATGTGCACCTCTGCCTACCCCTTCGGGGATAAAAAGGCGTGATGTTATGTATTATGTATGGACAGACAGACGGCGCATAGCGACTTTGTTTTATACTATGTAGTGATACTAGCGACCCGCCCCGGCTTCGCACGGGTGCAATATGCATGTATTATACATACAAACCTTCCTTAAGAATCACTCTATCTATTAAAAAAAACCGCATCAAAATCCGTTGCGTAGTTTTAAAGATCTAAGCATACATACGGACATACAGCGAAAGCGACTTTGTTTTATACTATGTATTGATATATAAATAGGCGTCAATCATGTTTACACTATAATGTCAATGACATTAAAGTATCTCTTTGAGTTCTTTCACATCACATTCTATACATATCTATATAGGTAAATAAAATTGTCTGTTTGTACATAACATAACATCACGCCTTTTATCCCAAACGTGTCAGGCAGAGGTGCACATTATGCCACTGTACAATGTAATACCCACTTTTCAGTATTTGTGTTACGAGTCTTATGTGAACCTATTACCATATACCGGGCACAATTCCAGGCTCCGGTGCTACTGAGATTTTTTTTAAAAACCCAGTAATACTTTGCCCGACCCGGGAATCGAACCTGAGACCCCTTGCCCGGCAGCAGCACTTGCGACCACTCGGCCAACGAGGCAGGCATAAATAAATAGAAGTATAAATTGATAGATATACAATTTCTTGCTGTTAGCTGTGTCGTTAGACCACATCAAATGGGACCCAGTAGGTTCTTCTTCCAGTTCTTTCATTCTATCTGTTTGTAATATAGAAATAACCTCGTTCTACTACATACATATAAACATACATTCTATTTAATTTCAATCCTTCAAGAAAAGAGCGTATTCATTTTTAAAAGGCCGACAACGCACCTATGACTCCTCTGGTGTTCCAGGTGTCCGTGGGCGGCGCAGATCGCTTACCATCAGGTGATCCGTTTGCTCGTTTGCCTCCTATTCCATAAAAACATAATATTCAACAAAAACCTATAAATGCCCACTGCTAAACAAAGCCTCTTCTCACACGGAGAAGATTTGAGCATTAACCACCATGCTTGCTCAATGCGGGTTGGCGATTACAAACTTATAATTAGAAATTATAAACCCAGGTTTCCTCACGATGTTTTCCTTCACCGTTTGTCAGTAGTGTCTGAATAATCTTAGAAAGTACATATAACTCGGAACAAGTAACATTGGTACTTGCCGTTGGTAGGTTTCGAGCCCGCACCCTCATGCATGAGAAGCGGGCGTCTTAACTCGTCGAGTACCGGTTTTGTAGACACAATAGGCGTGTCGACAGGGTAAAAAAATCAAAAAAGTAATTAGTCCGTCATTAAGATCGCACGAAAATATCAGACACGTATTTTTTGTTTTATCAAATTAACAGAAGAATACGTAGTTATTCCGCATTAAAGTTAGGGAGTGGGGGGTGTTGACGTCACACTTACGGAGAAATCGTACCTAAGTGTGACGTCACGCGTCATTTTAACTCAAAATATCTACATGTTTTTTTGGATACGAGAAAAAAGAAAAAATACGTATCGAATATTTTTAAAATATCTAAAAGACGGACAAAAAATTAAAAAATAGTCGCCATGCCTATTATAGAACAATAGGTTGCGGTCACCGGTGACCGCTTGGTGTTTGACAGTTTAAACCTCCGGGCCACCTCGACCAAAACCATAATATTAGTAGGGCATAATCATGGTGTTGTTTGTTTTCAGGATATAATGCAGTACCTCCTGCTCCTCCTGTGTGTCGGTGGCGCTCACCTGGCGCCACACGAGGAGTTGCACCTCTCCAATTCAGATAAATGTGGATATGATGTGAGTAGAGTACTAATATCATCTTCTTCTAATCGGGTACTAGCCAACTAGTCAAATTCAATACTTTTTTCGAACTGTCAACAACGACAGTTTTCTATGAATTTTGTCCGAGATTGTGTATTGTGACGTCACGTTTTTTTAGCGTCAAACAGCATAGTTATTTGTTAAAAATTTGCTGGCAAAATACTAAAATTAAGTTGGTCATAAAATCAATGAATGAAAGTGTGATTGTTTTTTAATATTTTATTGTATTGAACAGTCGAAATCATTTATTTTTGATTAAGGCAAGAAGTCAATTATTATTATTATTGTGTCCTAATTTAAGAGAGATTTTTTAATGGTATAAGCCGGTAAACGAGCAGATGAATCACCTGATGGTAAGCAATCGGCGACGTCCATGGACACACTGAACACCAGAGGCGTTGCAAGCGCGTTACCGGCCTTTTGGGGATTGGCAGTTTGAGGATCGTTGAGGATTCAGGGATTGGGGAGATTGGGGAAGGGGGATAATTGGGTCCTCCGGTAAGCCGACGCACACGACGAAACACATCGCAAGCATTGTTTCACGTCGGTTTTCTGCTCGTTGGTGGTATCAGTCCGGTTGAGCCGGCCCATTCGCACCGAAGCATGGCTGTCCCATACTTAAATCAAGACATATTAGTTTGAACAGTACAGTTAATAAATAAGAACAATATAAACAATAACTTCTTGATAATACGTGACCTCTAGACTTCGATAACATGTCCGTAGCTAACAACAACCTACGCCGATGTGTCAATTTTTCTCATTGGATTTTCGACTTTACAACTAAACGATAAAGTTGAAATCTAACAAAGAAAATTGATAGAAACGAGAAGGTGCTGCCTACTGCCTGCTGCACAACTGTATGCTTTATTTGTTTAATACATTTAAATCCGTTTATAGATTGCCTAGTTAAATTTTAAAGTATTTTAAATGAAAAAGTAGTTTATCGACCGAAATTATTTACCTATCTCAATCAAAAATTACAGCGGGAGGGGTTACCATCGGCGTCGAGACGACGATGAAGTACCTAGGACTCTTTGTGGAGCACTTCCGACGTTTGGCTCCTAAGTTGGAAAGGACGGGGGCTGCGCTTAAGCGCCTCCTATCCAACCTCAGGGGGGCCAAACGCCTCCTGCTGGAGGTTATGCGCCGGGGTCGTGCGGTCCATGACCCTCTACGGCGCCCCTGTGTGGGCGCCGAACCTGATGCGGCGGCCTGCTCGGGCGCTGCTCACGTCACAGAGGGACATGGCGATCGAATGATCCGCGGATACCGCACGATCTCCGGGGAGGCGGCGAACCTCCTTGCTGGATTACCGCCGTGGTATCTGGAGGCGAAGGTGCTGTGTTCTGTCTGCGGGCGGAGGCACGTCACCGGGGCGAAATTCCGCTGCCGCGCCAGATTAGTGCGTAGCACGAAGAGCTCCGGCGCGATCTCATGGCGGAATAGCAGCAACGACTGTCACAACCGAGGGCTCGGCTCGCTGCCATTGCAGCGGTAATTCCCCTCTTTGAGGAATGGCTTGAGAGACGTTACGGCGTCCTTACCTACCGCCTGAAGCAGGTCCTCACCGGACATATGAGCTTTGGGAGGGCGGAAGGAAACGCCCAGGTGTTATCACTGCGAGGACCGACACTGTAGGAGCATACCTTGCGTGGGCTGAGCACCGCCGTCCCCTCAGGGACGTGATCGGCGACGGCGACCTCTCACGTCCGGCCCTAGTGCGCGCCATGATGCGGAGCGAGGGGGACTGGGATGCCGTCTCCTTTGCGAAGCAGTCATGCTAGCTAAGGAGGAGACGGATCGCATGAGGCAGCGAAGCGCTGCCTCTTCACAACCCAGCCATTGCGGAAGATATGCGCGGGCCTGCGGACGGCGAGCATGATTGGTTCGCCTCCCAACCAGAACCAGACCCGAGCATGGGTGGCTCCCCGTCCGACCAGAAACAGACCCTAGCGTACGGCGCTTCGCGTTCCGCGCGTTCCGCGCGCGCCTCAAAGAGCCATCAGACCACCACAGGAGTCGCGGAGAACCTAACGGGTAACGGGCTCCGGCTCGACGTGCAGGAGAAGGAACGGGTTGGCTTTTAGTCAGTAAGAGTCTGACACTCCCTCCCGCCTCACCCAGGTGGGAGCAGTAATTCAATGATTTTCCCCCTTAATAAAAAAAAAATCGTAGTAATGGTGCGCGTGGTTACGTTGCAAATGAGCATGAAATCAGGCACCCTGATTACCCACAATTACCGTGACATTGCGATTTCATAGTATTTTATTTTATTTCACAAATATCTCACAGCACACTTAAATTATAGCACGTTCATATATTGACATAATTATTTTTGGCAGTTTCTTTTTGCATATAATATAATCTGTGGTTTTTTAAATTTGATGATTATTTATTTAACAGTACATTATTTTAATTATATTTTGGTAATATTTTTATTATCTGCCTCTTCTTCATCTGACTGAACACTTCACCTAGAACCCACAAAATTAAAACGAAGTTTTTGCAATTGGATTACAAGTATGTGTTGCTCTCGTCCGTGCGTCACTGCCAGGGGTGCCAACTGAAAATCAGTGTTGGGTGCTCATTGTGCCCAGCTTTATGCTGAATCGGTGACCCGTTCGGATTGGGCATGTCCGCCAACACCGCGCAATATGTTCCACCTGTATTATTGGCTTGTTTTAGTCTTATAATTTACCTGTTATCCTTTTTTTTCTTTAATGTCGGTTTTTAAACTGTCAAACACCAAGCGGTCACCGGTGACCGCAACCTTTTGTTCTATAATGACGGTACTCGACGAGTTAAACCTTTTTATTGTTATATGTCATAATGTATAAGTATTTTTTCTGGTGTGCATGTCTTATGCCGAATAAACGTATTTCATTCATTCATTCATTCATTTCTAGTGTCTATTAGGTTTATTCAGATCAATAAAACCAATACCCTAACTCTATATTAAAAATAAGAAATGAGTATACAATAATTATACAAAGCGACAAGAGATTTTCGTGATTTCGATGCGCGCGCGATCGCTAGCCGTGGCGGAGTGTGTGGGCGAGCGAGGGGGCGCGTGCGGGTCGAGCGCGGGGAGGCGACGGCGACGACAGCGCTCGATGTGTCGAGCGGGCGGCTCCGCGAACACGCGAGGCGTCCGAGTCCATCAACGCGGGCCGGGGCTCCGCTAGCGGCCGGGCCGTGTGTAGGTATAGCTAAGGGTGTGTACGAACGTGCGGAAGCATAAGGCCGTGAACAAATGTTGTAAAGTATTAAGTATTATGGTATGAATCTGAGTGTATGTGTATGTATGTATGTATGTATGTATGTATTTGATATGTACATTATCTTGTACCTTAGCTACATCCTACACATTCATTCAGTACTAATAAACGAATACCTACTATAATCTGTAGGCACTTGTTTTTAGTGTGTAAACTAAAGTTGTTTTCTTTGTTTCTTCGATTCCAGAGCTGCCAGGCTACGTCTCCTGATATGCTGAACGTCCATATAGTGCCGCACACACACGACGACGTCGGATGGTTGAAAACTGTCGACCAATATTACTACGGAAGTATGTCGATACATCTTACTTTTAATATTATTAATGCGGTTTGCATGTCAACTAAAATCGCGGGTTACTCACGTGAATATACTGAGGAAAGCTTTACTAGTTTCGAACCACAGAGGTTCACGCTGGTAAACGTAGCGTTCGCTTCAACATCAGCGCACTCGCCGCCGCCGGCGGTTGGAAGGAAACGCTCGTAGTGTCCGGCAGAGGGCGCGATGGGCTTTTTTTTAGGTTAGGGAAAATCATCGAATGACTGCTCTCGCCTGGGTGAGGCGGGAGGGAGTGTCAGACTCTTACTGACTAAAAACCACCCCGTTCCTTCTCTTGCGCTTCGAGCCGGAGCCCCGGTAACCAGTCAGGTTCTAGACGCGCAAGTAGCAACACCGAGGCGAGCGCCAACGCCAGCCAATAGGCTGTAGACATCGCCGCGACCGCGCACGCTGCTCATGAGGAAGACCCCTCTGTGGTTCGAACTAGTAGAGCTTTTCTCAGTATATTCACGTGAGTCACCCGCGATTTTAGGTAATTTAGTATGTCTCACGATTTGTATGTTTCATGTCGGGATGTTTCAAACCGGCTAGACACTTTGGCAATGTGTAGAGATGTAGCTTCATTGTGCATTTTCTACCGCTTATACCACGGGGAGTGCTCTGAGGAATTGTTTGACCTTTTACCTGCCGCATCTTTTCGCCATCGACCCTCATGGTAGCATATGTATCCACATCATATAGATGGTAGACAGGCCACAACTGTGTGTGCTTCTCTCGTAGCTTTCTGCCTCGCACAGCAAAACTGTGGAATGGTCATACAGTGGTATAATGTGCACCTCTGCCTACCACTTCAGGAATAAAAGGCGTGATAATATGTTATGGTTTTCATTTGAGTAAAATTGCGAATTTAATCATTTCAGGTAGAAACAATATTCAGAAGGCTGGCGTTCAGTATATTCTGGATTCAGTCGTGAAAGAGCTTTGGGAATCTCCTAAAAGAAGGTACGGTGAAACGTTTGACAACTTTATCTTCCTGTCCTTATACTAAGTTACTTCTAGTCGGCACAATTTGGCTACTTCCATTCTCAGAGGATATAATAAATAAGTGTGAGAGAACCATGCTTCGGCACGAATGGGCCGGCTCGACCGGAGTGATACCACGGCCGAGCAGAAAATCGACGTGAAACAACGCTTGCGTTGTGTTTCGTCGTGAGTGAGTTTACCGGAGGCCCAATTACCTCCCTCCCTAGTCCCCGTCTGCCGAATCCCCGAATGCTTCACAATCCTCAAATTCCCCATTCCCAAAAGGCCGGTAACGCACTTGTGAGGCCTTTTTCTTTCGAGTGTCCATGGGCGGCGCCGATGGCTTACCATCAGGTAATCCGTCTGCTCGTTTAAAGGCTTCAATACATAGTATAAAACAAAGTCGCTTTCGCTGTATGTCCGTATGTATGCTTAGATCTTTAAAACTACGCAACGGATTTTGATGCGGTTTTTTTTAATAGATAGAGTGATTCTTAAGGAAGGTTTGTATGTATAATACATGCATATTGCACCCGTGCGAAGCCGGGGCGGGTCGCTAGTATACTATAAAAAAATAATAGAAACCAATAGGCTAATTAGAAATTATAAGCCCAGGTTTCCTCACGATGTTTTCCTTCACCGTTTGTCAGTGATGTCTAGATCATCTTAGAAAGTACATATAACTCGGAACAAGTCACATTGGTACTTGCCGTTGGTAGGTTTCGAGCCCGCACCCTCATGCATGAGAAGCGGGCGTCTTAAGCCTCTGGGCCACCACGACATAAATAACAATCTTAGATTGCTTTTCACAGATTCATTTACGTAGAAACGGCATTCTTCTGGAAATGGTGGGTCCGTCAGCCCGTGAGTGTACAGCAGAAGGTCCATGTCCTGGTGCGACAGGGACGCCTGCAGATGGTTGGAGGAGCCTGGAGTATGAATGATGAGGCGGCCTCCCACTACCAGAGCACCATCGACCAGTTCACCTGGGGATTGCGGTGAGTAACTTTACTATTAATTATTTTCCAGCAGCACACGGTTTCACCTGCTGCCAGGCTCCTATTGATCATAGCGTAATGTTTTATAACCTATTAGCTACTTCCGCGCGGTTTCACATGCTCTGCTCAGCTTCTATTGGTCGTAGCGTGATGTTTTATAGCCATCCTCGATAAATGCGCTATCCAACACAAAAAGAATTATTCAAATCAGACTTGTAGTTACGGAGATTAGCGCGTTCAAACAAACAAACAAACAAACTCTCCCGCTTTAGAGGTATATAATAGTGCGACTGCTGGGCAAGGAGTCACGGGTTCGATTCCCGGGTCGGCCAAACTATTAATGAGTTTAAAAAAAATCTCAGTTGTAGCACGGAGTCTGGAATCGTGTCCGGTATATGGCAGTAGGCTCACCCCCTATTACATGGGACTCATAACATAAATAGTGAAAAGTGGGTGTTACATTGTACAGTGGCATAATGTACACCTCTGCCTACCCCTTCAGGAATAAAAGGCGTGTCTTACTTTAGTTTTACCAAGAAAAATATATTATTTTTCATTTTTTTTAAAAAAATGTTGCCCTACAATAGGATTTTCTCCTGTGTCGTGGGTGCGTTTACAAACATACAAGTTCACATACACAATGACACACAGACCCGGAACAACAATTTGTGTATCGAACCCGCGACACGTTGCACGGCAGCCGGTTGTCCAGCCACCGCACCAACCATGCAGTCATATTATGTTTTGTTATTTCAGAAAACTAAATCACACGTTCGGCCAATGCGGCTGGCCGCACGTTGGGTGGCAAATCGATCCATTCGGTCATTCCCGGGAATTCGCCAACCTGTTGTCTATGATGGGCTATGACGGGCTATTCCTCGGCAGGATAGACTACCAAGATAAAAGGTCTAGACTATTAGGTAAAAATATGGAGATGGTCTGGAGAGGAGACGATATTTTAGGTGAGTTTTGAATTTTTTATTATTCCATAAATTATGTGAGATGATTAAAGGGGGGAGGGGGTAGACTGAAATCACATCTTATCTTACGTTGGAGAGAGGGGGGGTCTCGGCAAATATCACGTAATTTTTTTTCTGAATTAACTCTTTCAGTCATGGTGGTCACTGTAACTAACCTTTTCTTAGAAATTCAATTTTTGAAGTATGCTCCAAATTACTTTGCATTGGTTTTTAAGCATTTCAGTATAATTGAATAAAATATATTCGTAACCAGTTAAAAGTGTGACTGAAAGAGTTAAAAAACAAAAAAAACAAACAAAAATTATACAATTTTTTTATAAAATGAAATTATTTTTGCAATAACAATCCAACGCGTTTACGTGAAAAACCAACATTTTGAAAAATCTTACGTGAGATTGGGGGATGAGGGAGGGTGTTGAATAAAATCTCACCAGGAGAGAGGGAGAAACTGAAAATTAAAAAAAATACCTCACGTAATTTATGGACGCCCCTTATTAGAAGTTTCTTAGCCTTTTTTATGGCATAAGCCGGTTAACGAGCAGACGGATCACCTGATGGTAAGCAATCGACGTCGCCCATGGACACAAGGAACACCAGAGGCGTTACAAGTGCGTTACCGGCCTTTTGGGGATTAGGTATTTGAGGATTGTTGGCGATTCATGGATTGGGGAAGGAGGGAGGGGAGGGTTATTGGGCCTCCAGTAACCTCACTCATACGACGAAACACAACGTAAGCGTTGCTTCACGTTACGTCTCATAACGACTCGTCACATAACGACATGTTACATTACATTTGCAGGCAAATCATCAGATATATTTACTGGGGTACTCTACAATACATACTCTCCGCCTCCAGGCTTCTGTTTCGATGTTTTATGCTCAGATGAACCGATCATAGATGACGCTAGCTCACCGTTGTATAATGTTGAAACTAAGGTATGCATGTTGTATCATTATAATAACATTAATAATTGGGTAGTTTCCATGGTACCAAAATTAAAAATCTAATTAGTCCGTCAGTTAGATAATGAAAAAATATTAGACACGTATTTTTTATTTTCTCGTATTAAGTTGCAATACTTAGATAAAATGGCGTTAAGTTCAGGAGTGGGAGGTTGTTACGTCATAACGTGCTACAAAATGTGGCACGCTGTGACGTCACACGATATTTTAAATTAATATATCGTCGAAAGTATTTAATTTTGTGAGAAAAGAAAAAATACGTGTCTAATAGTTTTAAATTAATGTACCAGACGAACAATAAAATAAAATTTAGGAAACTACCCTTTTGTTGTAGATTAAGTTTTTGAAAATATGTTTTTTTTAGAGAATTTCAAAGAGGAAAATGCTAATATTATTTAAGTTTAAGAATTCCTATCAATAGTTCTATCGGCAAGCAATATTTAACAAAAAAAAAAGAAATTGTGATGTAAAATAAATTCTCGGGTCGGGCAAAGTATTACTGGGTTTTTAATTCTCAGTAGTAGCACGGAGCCTGGAATTGTGCCCGGTATATGGCAATAGACTCACCCCCTATTACATGGGACTCATAACATAAATAGTGAAAAGTTGGTGTTACATTGTACAGTGGCATTAAGTGCCGTACGTAATGTGCATCTCTTAAACCCTTGGGGGATAAAAGGCGTGATAAAAATTCGTTATAATTTGTCTATACCTCTATAAAAGTTGCTTCTATTAGGTGAATTGGTTAGGGGATTTAAATATGACACATGGACAAATTAACAGATTTTAAGTTGAATAAAAAATAATTTCAGAATATAGTTAGCAAGTATTTCTGATTTCTGATTTAAGAATTTCATTTCTCATAAAAAGAATACAATTCAATTAAGATATGAGAAAACACGATAATTTAAAATTAAAGTACAGACTATGAGCACGCGGGCGGTACATTGAATTTTTTTTTTACTAACATATACATATAATTAGTTAATGTGGGTATTACCAAAAATATAACAAAAATAACTTAGGATAAAAGAAAGTTCTTTTATATCTGTCTAAAACAGTTCAGTTAGAATGACGCCAAGGATACACTTAGGGACAAATGTCGTGAAACACGTGTCGCCAATGACGGTGGGTGAAGTAGTAAGACGTTGCCGGACTTCGCTCGATATGTCTGGCAACATCGCGCGACTGCCTTGTGAAACAAAACTTCGTGATATCACCAAATATTTCCGGCGAAGTTTCGCGAAGTTCCACGACTTCGTCTGACGTCGTTGCCGACATAAGTCGCGCGTTGTCGCCATAATTGTCAGAATGCTTCATGTGAATGGGTGGATTGTCCACCATATAAGGGTGGCGCCCTGTCGTTCGTCTGTTAGTATGGTGGTGAAGCATAGTTTTGGGAGTCTGTGGCGAACTTAACCCCTTAGAAAACAATATGAAAAATGAAAATTCTGAACAGGTGCAAGATTTCCTATCAATATGTCGGACCATGTCGAATCATTACTTGTCCAAAAATATATTGATTACAATGGGAGATGATTTTAACTATCAAGATGCTGGGATGTGGTTCAAAAATCTAGATAAATTGATCGAGTAAGTTAGATTGTGTTGTGTTAAAATGGTGTTTGGTTTGCTTGTGTGTGTGTGAAATGTCAATAGATATAGCTCTGTCTTTGCTTCTCATGTTAAATAGTATAGTTTAAATATGAAACCATAATTCCTTGGAATTTTTTTGAAAATACATCCGAAAAATACTGAAATGACAGTCATTTCGGTGCTTTTTTTTTGAGGGGCGAAAGCTATCTAATGTTTTCTTCCGTCTTGGTTGAGACGACAGGGAGTGTTAGACTCTTACTGACTAAAAACTGTTAAGTCCTCTGCGGTTTCGAATCGGCATTAGCCCATCTGTGGTGGTTTGATGGGTCTTGGTGTCGCGCGCAGAATGCTCGGCGCCGTACACTCAAGGACGCGGATCTAGTTCTACTCAGGCGGCGAGTTACTCGTGCTTGCCGTCTGCAGGCCCGTGCTTACGGTGGCCGGCAAATTTCAGTGCCTGTGGTTAGCTAGTTAATTTATAAATGCTATAGATTCTAATTCTAAAATTGAGTAGAGGTTACAAATATTTTTCTCGCAAACTGTGGTACTTTTACTTTTTTGGCACTAATCAGAGAATGGAGTGGGACATTTTGAGAATTGGACATTTGTGAGATTTGGACATTTGAGAATAGAACATTTGGAGGATTGGACTATTAGAGAATTGGACATAGTTGAGAATGTACATTTTGAGAATTGGACGTTTTGAGAATTAGACATTTGAGAATTGTACATTTGAAAATTGGACATATTGAGATTTGGACATTTGAAAATAGAACATTTAGAGACTTGAACATGTAGAGAATTGGACATTTTGAGAATTGGACATTTGAGAATAGAACATTTTGGGAACTGATATTTGAGAATTTCACATTTTGAGAATTGGACATTTGAGGAAGAGTACATTTTGGGAACTGATATTTGAGAATTTTACATTTTGAGAATTGGACATTTTGGGAACTGACGTTTGAGAATTAGAAATTTTGACACTGAACGTAAATTTCTAGCCCTTTTTTAATATCAATTATATTTTTTGTTGAAGATACTGAATTTTTTGGATATTTGCACGAACATGTCCAAAGCATATAAGACCAATAACATCTTGTTGACGATGGGCGAGGACTTCCACTACCAAGACGCAGCCATGTGGTTTATAAATCTAGATAAACTGATTGAGTGAGTTATGTATAATTTTTTGTGCATGCCTGCCTAGTTTTTTTGCTTGCGTGCAAAATTAATAGTCTAAAGCACGTTTCCACCGACCTCTCTCATTGCCATGTTCACCAACTACCCCTGAACCATACTAAAAGTGGTTTAGCGTAAGATAGCACCTAATCTCCTATATATATATCCGTTTTCGTCCCAAAGTAAAATGGTTCAGTCTCGGTAATACAATAGTTTTACAAAGAAATAAAATGTTTAAAACAAAACATAACTGGTGAACCATTGCAAAAAGCAAACTTCGAAAGCGCACGAACTCATAGTACATTATCAAAACATCACGCCATGTAATTCTCGAAGAGGTATTTCTCGTCACAAAAAGCTTTAAGAAGAGACGAGTGGAAGGAGGGTAAGGTCTTTACCCTGCAGTGGTACGACCATGGCTAATAATAAAATAAAAATTAGCCAAATCGGTCCAGCCGTTTTCGAGGTTCAGCGAGACTAACGAGCAGTTATATATTTTATTATATATGTATACCTGTAACTATGAAATTAAATGAAATTCATTTCATAAATTTTTGTCGTCAGCGGTATTTCCAAACCGATACGACCTTCAAATCTTCAAGAAAAGAGCGTATTCCTTTTTAAAAGGCCGGCAACGCACCTGTGACTCCTCTGGTGTTGCGGGTGTCCATGGCCGGCGCTAATCGCTTACCATCAGGTGATCCGACTGCTCGTTGTCTCCTATTCCATAAAATAAAAACATTTCTGCAAATGGGTTACAAAGTAATACTTCTATACTTTTAAGTCAAACACAATACTTAAATACTTATTGAAAATTTATTCTAAACGGATTCTTATAAGAACACAGCGTCATCTGTGGCGTCATGCTCGTCAAACTTCCCGCCGGAATCGCGCGTTACCACACTTTGCGCGGGAATCTTTCTAATCTGTCAAATTTGACAGGTGACATTGTCGACATGACAGCTAGTGCTGTCAATAATACAGATTAAATTAGTGACGTATCCGACGCAGTATAGTCGACGTTCTTTTAGTTGATTTTTGTTGTGTAACAAAACGACAATCTTTAAATTATTAGATGAGGGCATCTCCTAACTGGCTCTCAGAAGAAACGCCGAAACTAACTCTGAGGTCATTGTCTCTTTTAAAGTCCAGACAGATTATATAATAGATGTCAATTTCGAATCTTCAAAGGCAGAGCTATATCTATAATTGTTTTGAAACAATAGATACTCGATTACAAGGATCTGTGGGCTTACTCTTGAATCCAATTCCTATCGATCGACATTGATATTGCGAAATTTTCTACTCTTGAGTGGCAACACTAGCGCCCATTGCATCCGTATTGCGCGGATATTGAATGAACTAAATGGTATTGAGTTTGTCTTTATATTCCGTACTCTGAATGCTATTGTAACAGCTACGATTGTGGTTGTATAGTGTTGACATTGAATAATTATTGAGATTTAATTGGATTGAAATTGCATTGACATTGAGATTGGTTTCAAGAGTAAGCACCCTGTACTGTGATTGCAAGATTATTTATTCGTTATAATATCACTTAAGGCTTGCATGCTTAGCTTCTAATTGCACGTTTTTAGCTTTTTTATTTAGTAACAAATTATTAACTTGTTTTTAATATCGTGGTGGCTCTGAGGTCTGAGACGCCTGCTTCTCATGCATGAGGCTCGAAACCTACCAACGGCAAGTACCAATGTGACTTTTTCCGAGTTATATGTACTTTCTAAGATTATTTAGACACCACTGGCAAACGGTGAAGGAAAGCATCGTGAGGAAACATGGGCTTATAATTTGTAATTATAAATTTGTAATTGCTAACCCGCATTGAGCAAGCGTGGTGTTTAATGCTCAAACGTTTTCCGTGTGAGAAGAGTCCTTTGGTCAGCAGTGGGCACTTATGGGCTATTAATGTTGATGTGAAGGTTTCACTCATATAAAGTATTATTTGGTAATTTTATTAAGATGTATATGTCGCAGGGATATGATAAAAACAGAGATTTGGTCAATTCCCTAAGGGATTTGATCAAATCACGGAGGATGTTAAAATAACAACACTATTTTATCCACTATTTTAGCAAATCTACTAGATTTGTTCAGGGAAATGATAAAATAGTGTTGTTATTTTAACATCCTCCGTGATTTGATCAAATCCCTTAGGGAATTGACCAAATCTCTGTTTTTATCATATCCCTGCGACATATATACTTACCAGTATATCCCCAAGCGGTCACCGGTGACGGCTCTCCACTGACTACATTATAGACCTTATTTCCAATGTGTAGAGACTACTTTTGTATGAAAAAAATTAGGGGATGATTTTCAACAATTTTCAACGGGTTAAGTAAAATTCAATACTTCAATACAGATAAGTTTATTCTAAAACTGATTCTTATAAGGACAGAGCGTGATGCTCGTCGAAATTCCCACCAGAATCGCGCGTTACCACTCTTTGCGCGGGAAACTTTCCAATCTGTCACATTTGACAGTTGACGTCAAATTAAAATTCAAATCACTTTAATGCATCTATAGTGTGTATAGGGTGGTTTACAATTTTTGACAAAATATGTTCCAACTATAGGCCCTTTTGGGCACCGCAAAAGTACTTTTTTTTTTTTTTTTCTTCTTTGGCAACTGAGTCTCCAAAATGGTGTTGTCGACTATACTGCCAGTGTCGAGTGGTGACGGCAAAATTATTGGACCGTCGAACTTAACTTTGCGGTAGTGACTTACTCTACTTACAAAATAATATTTATACATCGTCAACATGACAGCTAGTGCTGTCGATAATACAGATTAAACTAGTGACGTTCATTTAGTTGATTTTCGTTTTCGTCTTGTGCGTACTGCTAAGGAGTGGAGTTCTTTGCCAGAGTCTGTATTTCTTGAAGGTTATAACTTGGGAGTCTTCAAGGCCCGAGTGAATAGGTTGCTTATGGGACGACGTGCTCAATCGTAGACCTAATCATCGCTCCACTAGGCGAGATAGAGGTCAAACGTCAGTCGTATCTAATATAACAGATTATGTAGCTGTCTTGTTGATAATTTTATCGGGCATCGGACTTTCCGTATATATTAAAACATATCTAGTATTCTAAAAAAACTAGTTTAGTTAACTGCCTCGTTGGCCGAGTGGTCGCAAGTCGACTGCCGGGCGAAGGGTCTCGAGTTCAATTCTCTAGTCGGGCAAAGTATTACTGGGTTTTTATAAAAATTCTCAGTAGTAGCACGGATGCTGGAATTGTGTCCAGTATATGGTAATAGGTTCACCCCCTATTACATGGGACTCATAACATAAATAGTGAAAAGTGGGTATTACATTGTACAGTGGCATAATGTACACCTCTGCCTACCCCTTCGGGGGTAAAAGGCGTGATGCTATGTGTATATATAGTCTAGTACAGTCTCCTGTGTCGTGTGTTCGTATAGAAACACTTTCACATATACATCACATATAGACGGGACTACTATTTTTATAGCCACAAAGAGTTATTCAATTTCAATAAAATCTCAATAATTATTCAATGTCAACACTATACAACCACAATCGTAGCTGTTACAATAGCATTCAGAGTACGGAATATAAAGACAAACTCAATACCATTTAGTTCATTCAATATCCACGCAATACGGATGCAATGGGCGCTAGTGTTGCAACTCAAGAGTACGACACAATATCAATGTCAAGCGAGGCGTTTGCCCACATTGTGCTGATTGTACTTTTGATTTATTTTTTAATTGCTTGGCGATAGAACATTAATTTTCATATAAACTATTTGATTAAAATTTAAGGGTTAATATTAAAATGTCATAAACACCAATTTTATACAACGTATAAAATACTTTATAATCTTGATATTAAAGCTGCAATTTCAATTCACAGATTCCAGTATTTTTAGACTATGTAAAGAATCAGGCGAGGTATTATAAAACTAAGAATGTTATTGTCACTATGGGTGGGGACTTTACGTACCAGGACGCCTCAATGTGGTATATAAATCTTGACAAATTGATAAAGTAAGATGTTTATTATTATTTTTGTATGTATTATTATATTTGTCTGCCTCGTTGGCCGAGTGGTCGCAAGTGCGACTGCCCGGCAAGGGGTCTCGGGTTCGATTCCCGGGTCGGGCAAATTATTACTGGGTTTTAAAAAAAATCTCAGTAATAGCACGGAGTCTAGAATCGTGCCCGGTATATGGCAATAGGCTCACCCCCATTACATGGGACTCACAACATAAATAGTGAAAAGTGGGTGTTACATTGTACAGTGGCATAATGTGCACCTCTGCCTTCCTCTTTGAGGATAAAAGGTGATGTTATGTTATGTATATTTGTATGTACTATATGTGTATGTAAAAGATAATAAAAATATAAATATTGTTTTATATGCTTTTTAAATTTTATTCATCATCATCATCAACAGCCTATAAGTGTCCACTGCTGACCAAAGGCCTCTTCTCACACGGAGGTTTGAGCATTAACCACCACGCTTGCTCAATGCATGTTGGCGATTTCAAACTTATAATTAGAAATTATAAGCCCAGGTTTCCTCACGATGTTTTCCTTCACCGTTTGTCAGTGGTGTCTAAATAATCTTAGAAAGTACATATAAGTGGGAAAAAGTCGCATTGGAAGTTGTAAAGTTAATATGTTTTATTTAATTTTCAGATATTCCAATTTGAAAGCAGCTAGAGATGGACTAAATATATCAGTGTTCTATTCGACACCCAATTGTTATTTAAAGGCGGTCAAAGAAGCTAAGTAAGTTGACTTAATATTAATTAATATTAGTAAGTGTGGGAGAGCCATGCTTCGGCATGAATGGGTCGGCTCGACCAAACTAGAACCAGACCAAACTAGACTCAACGAGCAAAAAACCACAGCGTTGTGTTCCGTCGTGTGAGTGAGGTTACCGGAGGCCCAACTACCCCTCTCCTTTTCCCCAATCTCCCCCAATCCATGAATCCCCAACATTCCTCAAATTCGTAATTTCCGTAAAATCCAAACAATTCACGTCGTGTGTCGCGGAATGCTGTTCATGATAATACGCCTCTGGCATGACTGGAAACTGGTCGAGTTCCTCGTCAAACAATTACGAGACGAAGCCAAAAACAATAATTAATAAAATTGGATACTTTCCTTATTCAAAAGTAAATTATTTCGACTGTTCAATACAATAAAATAATAAAATATTATCACACTTTGGCAAGCTTAATTTTAGTATTTTTCCAGCAAATTTTAAAGAAATAACTATGCTGTTTGACGCTAAAAAAACGTGACGTCACAATACACAATCTCGTACAAAATTAATAGAAAACTGTCGTTAACAAGTATCAACTCTTGATTACATTATTAACATATGTTTTCAGCCCGACTCTGTCTACGAAGAAGGACGATTTCTTCCCATACGCCAGCGATCCCACTGCTTATTGGACTGGCTACTTCACCTCTAGACCTACAACTAAATATTTCGAGAGAGAGGGGAATAATTATTTACAGGTGATAATAAACAGAAGACATTTGTCTCCACACCGCTACTCAACCCGCGGGTGTCGTTTACCCGACTAAAGGACATCTCACATTTGAAAAGCGCGTATATCCGACTAAAGAACGTCTCAAATTTAAAAAGCGCGTATACCCGATTAAAGGACATCTCACATTTAAAAAGCACGTATATTCGACTAAAGGGCATTTCACATTTAAAATGCACGTATACTCGACTAAAGGACATCTCACATTTAAAAAGCGCGTATATCCGACTAAAGGACATCTCACATTTAAAAAGCGCGTATACCCAACTAAAGGACATCTCACATTTAAAAACCGCGTATACCGGACTAAAGGACATCTCACATTTCTAAAGCGCGTATATCCGACTAAAGGACACTTCACATTTCTAAACCGCGTATACCCGACTAAAGGACATCTCAGATTTAAAAAGCATGGTGACCACGCGCTTCCAACTAGCGCTTGCTTGCTAGGTGAAAGCTTTTAATGCTACAAGAACACTCTCGCGCGAGTCGAGAGGAGGCCGAGATACATTGTCGTTATTCTAAAAGAGTTGTAGTCTTTCTCGCATTATAAGACTGCAATGTACTTCAACCTGGTCATTTCGCGCGAGAGTGTAAATGTAGCATTACAATACCTATCTACGATGCGACGTTGTTTCGCTGGAGCTTGGGCGCCTCGCCGACGGCTCGTTGACGCCGCGCGGGCGGAGCTCCGTAAGCACGCGGTCCTGCACGGTCTCAGTCAAATGTGTAGTATCTTAGTCGGGACACGACACCCACGAGAAGTAGTTAGTGACTATACTAAACACGTCAAACGAAATTTTCACAGTTTTAATCAATATTAATACTTTATGTTTTTGTTTTCAGTCAATAAAACAGCTACAGGTGTTGTCCGATTTAGACAAACATAATGAATTTGTTCTGAACGAACTGAAAAGTGCTATGGGTAAGTAGTTTTTATGGAATAGGAGGCAAACGAGCAGACGGATCACCTGATGGTAAGCAATCAGCGCCGCCCATGGACACCCGCAACACCAGAGGAGTCACAGGTGCGTTACCGGCCTTTTGGGGATTAGGAATTTGAGGATTGTAGGGGATTCAGGGATTAGGGAGATTGGGGAAGAGGAAGGTAATTGGGCCTCCGGTAACCTCACTCAGACGACACAACGCAAGCGTTGTTTCACGTCGGTTTTCTGCTCGGCCGTGGTATCACTCCGGAGCATGGCTCTCCCACACTTAATTTTTTATGGTATAAGCCGGTAAACGATTACGGATCACTTTCGTACTTACTCTTGAAACCAATCTCAATGTCTGTCGTAGCTCTGTCGGGTTATTTTAAATTAAAACAGAAGACTGCACAATTAATAGGTTTAATTATTACATATCAGAATCAAGACCGGCTTGCACCGATACAAAGAAATGCCCGAATGTTATGGCTGGCGTGTGTCGATGAAGAAGAAGCGCGGCGCTGACGCGGGCGTGGGTTTATATACCCCGTCCCGCGCGTCGCCGCCTCTATGGTCGATGGCCATACTAATACGCCGACAATGTCAATGCAATTTCAATAATTTCCAGGTGTAATGCAACATCACGACGCTATAACAGGAACGGAGAAGCAGCATGTTACACATGACTATGAGAGACTATTGAACCAGGCCATCGATGACGCATTCATTATTGCCAAACAGGCATTCAAGTAAGTGTACAGTCAAAGGTCAAAAGTCCACTGCCACCGTGAGTGATGTTGACACGGCAATGTGTAAGTAATTTCATATTAATGTGCATAAACACGCGTGCGTACGCATACACACACGCACGCACGCGTACGCACACGGATACAAATATGCGTGTGTGTATAACCGATAGTAGTCTTACGGTGGCAGTGGACTTTTGACCTTTGACCGTACATAATTGATTAGTTACCTTAATCAGGGATAGATTATAGGCATTATTTCGACTGTTGTCGACTGGAGTTTCTTGCTCGTTCTTCTCCATTCGAATCTACATTTTGGAATGAGCACCTAGCTTCACCTAGCTTTACTGATGGACTGACTGACAGACTGTTATTTATTTTGTATTTGTTGACTTTTCAAAGGTACCAAATTATGGTTTAATTGAAATAAATGCTTTGACTTTGACTTTGAAGGAAAATAATAATGGTTTCGAAAAACAAATTAATCTCCAGCGATCTGTGGCCGATTATAAAAATGGATCTTCGAATAACAAAACTAAACTTCCGAATAGAAGAAGGAAGGCACTTTTAAACGTCAAACAACAAAAATTTAGAAGTGAAGCTATTTACTCATTCCAAGGTGTTTTTTTTTTTAAGGGGGGAAAATCATCGTGTGACTGCTCCCGCCTGGGTGAGGCGGGAGGGAGTGTCAGACTCTTACTGACTAAAAACCACCCCGTTCCTTCTCCTGCACGTCGAGTCCGAGCCCCGGTTACCCGTTAGGTTCTCCGCGAGACTCCTATGGAGAAGAACGAACAAGAAACTGCATAGGTTACTCTTTTTCAATCGGGTTTACGATACAATTCTCTAGTTACATAGTCTTATTGGTTCGATTGTGTGAGAACAATGCAACACCTAAATGCAGTCAAAGAGATTGAAAAAGAAAATAACCTTGAGGATAATAAAATGATACAGTCTGGAGCTGACCAGTTCCAAAAATGTATTGACTTTGACTAGTTGGCAAGTAGGCAATTTTCTGAAAGTCCAATGCGGGACTTTTTGTGTTGTTGACTGTTGCCCTATACGGAGCCGCGGAAGGCCTAAGCAGGAGTAGGAACAGCGTGGTTTTTAGTCAATAAGAGTCTGTTACTGCCTCTCGCCTAATCCAATGTCATTGATTGATATTCCTCCTACAAAAAAAATGTTGTTCTGTGCTGAACTTTTTCTCCTTCTAGCCCTTTAGGACATCATTGTTCACGTTCACACACATAACTTACTTCGTCAAACAAGTTATCTTCATTTATTCGCGCTGTTGTTAGTGCGCGCGTGGTTGTGTCGTGTAGTAGAGAAATATGTATGCGGGACTTGCGGGACGCATCGAACGGTTTACGGGACTATTTTATTAATTACATATTTCAAAACGGGATTACATCTAGCATTACGGGACGGTCCCGCAGAATACGGGACGGTTGGCCGCCTTAGGCAATTTGAATAAAAATATTTTCATGGATGCGTTTGTTTCAGTAAAATGATTGTAAAGGACAGTGCGAGGAAGCCGATGTTTGACTTCCAAAGATGTCGCCTGAACGAGTCTAGCTGTGAGGTTTCAGAAAACAGCAATAATTTTGTTGTAAGTACTTGCTTTTGAGTAAAATAGATTTACAGTAAATATATAATATATGGATGGAATGGAGTTTCTTGCTCGTTCTTCTCCATTCGAATCTACATTTTGGAATGAGCACCTAGCTTCACCTAGTTTCACTGACGGACTGTTATTTATTTTGTATTTGTTGACGTTTCAAAAGTAACAAATTATAGTTTAAACTGTCAAACACCAAGCGCTCACCGGTGACCGCAACCTATTGTTCTATAATTGTGTCTATAATGACGGTACTCGACGAGAAAATTTTGAAATAAAAGCTTTGACTTTGACTTTGACTCTACGCGGACGAAGTCGGGGGCAACAGGCAGTCGTGTCAATAAATGATGTTTTTGTTTTCAGGTAACTATATATAATCCTCTGGGTTGGTCTGTCAAGGAACCTATTAGGATACCAGTAGACGCTGGTACATTCGAAGTCTTTGGACCATCCGGTAAGTATTTTCATTTAAATTTTTAACTAACATAACATAACATCACTCCTTTTAATCCCCGAAGGGCTAACCCTTCGGAGATTAAAAGACTTTTGGATGGTGATTAATTAATAACCATTAAAAGGTTTTCTGGGAAGTCAGTTAAACTGCTTCGTTGGCCGAGTGGTCGCAAGTGCGACTGCTGGACAAGGGGTCTCGGGTTTGATTCCCGGGTCGGGCATTACCGGGTTTTTATAAAAAATCTCAGTAGTAGCACGGAGCCTGGAATTGTGCCCGGTATATGGCAATAGACTCACCTCCTATTACATGGGACTCATAATATAAATAGTGAAAAGTGGGTGTTACATTGTACAGTGGCATAATGTGCACCTCTGCCTACCCCTTCGAGGCTAAAAGGCGTGTTATGTTATGTTGTGAATGACACATTTTTTTGGGGCTGAGTAATATAACGTTTTGTAGTTTAATAAGTTCAATAAGTAACTACTGATATCCCGAAGGGGTAGGCAGAGGTGTACATTACGGCGCTTAATGCCACTGTACAAT